ATAGCTTCAACCATTCTTCAAAGACCCAAGCCATGACTAATTTACTAATAAGTTTCGTATCGAAACCCTTTAACAGATTGAGAAATCCATCTTAATTAAAAAGAAATATTGAGATGGAAAAGTCAGCATTTTGCATTTGTCAAACCAATTTGTTCAATTGATGTCATATCTTGTCGTGTTCTTCGCTGATTTCCGATGAGCACGTGTACCAGTCGGTGGGCATAACAAGTTGGATTCCCTCACGGATACCAAGAAAAACTCATTAAACGAGCTTCTGCCTGGGCCAAGGTTTCCATTGCCCCGATGGCATGACTTGGACTCCAGATAAGCCCAGTTCCAGCTCCGTCTCCAGCTAAAGAGCTCAGACTCAACAACTCTTTTTCCTCGTTTATTATTATTTTTTTTTTTTTTTTAGCTGAGCACGCGTAGGCGTAGCCATTGAGCACAATGCTTCACGGTGCAAAATGTTAACGAATTTTCACAAGCCCCAGCCGCATTCTAAGTGCAGTTTTTCCAAGCCCAGCATATCAAATCATTCGTCACTCGCCCCCCCGAAATCCCCCTGGCCTGTCCATAATTATCGCAGAACCAGGCTCAAGCTTAGACCTGGAGCTTGGAGCCAACAGTTCCGAGTTGGAGGTTGGAGTCGTCGATTGTTGACAAGCAATTTGCAGGCGGCGAACTCGAGCCCTGACTTCGCATCCAGCTGCGGTTGTGCCTCCGTCTAAGACTGGCACTGGCAAAAAAACTGAAACCTAACTAGATATAGATTAAAATATGCATAAATTATTTTTCAATAATTAAACTTTACTGAAAAATGTTTTTCAATAGACTTTGATTATAAACGTAGGTGCATTTTACACCACAAATTTAAGGAAATCAAGGATTAGCAGGAGGAGACGCCAGAGAACGCTCACAAATAAAGTTCTTTTGGAAGTGACAGCTATCGTCATTCATTAGATACGTGAAATTATATCTGAACTCATCGCAATGCTGCTCTCCATTTGTATTGTCTGGTTGTGCGGGATGCCATAGAGCCGGGTCAACTGGCTGTCCACTTGGAAACCAAGTGTGCTTTCCCAAGGTCAGAAAGTCGTTTCCTGAAGTCCAGAAGCTGCCGTTTGATCCTTTATCGTCCAGAAATCGGTTGATTACATTATATTTCTCCTGGCTATCCAGCGAGATAAGATTGTAGCCCAAGTTCTCGCAGAAAAGCCGAGCCTGGAACCAGTTCTTCCACACGTTCTCCTCAATGTAAAAGAGAGTGTCGCCAACGTATATAAAGTTCTTAGTTTTCGAACTCACTAAATAGGGATACGAAAGGATTATTAAATAAATAATGTTTAGGAAAAGGACCTCACCATCTCCTTGCACTCCGCTTAGGTAAATCAGGGCCAAAATGGCCAAAACTCCACTGTACTTGGTAAGCATTTTGAAATAACTGTTGTGGTTTGTTCCCAAACTGCACGTTTTTATACCCCAAAGAATGATTCAAATTTCATTAGAAAGACAGAGTGAGTTGGCCGATAGATAGGCCAAAAACGCAGTATCTAGATTAATCAATTTGGTTTCTGTATTTTGCTTGTCTTATCATTCGAGACAGAGAAAGGTGAGATCGTGTTATTCGGTCAAAATCTTCAGACAATTGGAAGGTTGATAAGAGTATAGGTATATTATACAGTATATATAACTCTATTTAATTCTTTAAAATATTTTATTCATCATAATAGAATTCTCCCAAAGAAGTATATTGAGAACAGAAAACGAGTGATTAGAAAGTTTAGGTTTATTTATATTGAAAGTCCAAGTAGAAGTGAAATAAGCAAAGACAATCACCTAATAATTTTAATAACAGACAAAAAATACTATCGATAAATATCGATTTATAGATAAATGGCAATCATATTACTATTTACTTCACCCTATAAATATTCCTCAAAGAAGTTGAAATAACAAATTGCAATATAGATTTGTATAGGACATTTAGAATCTATAGCCTTCAATATACATTTAGAATTGTAAGCTCCAGGATCGGATCGATAAAGAGCGATAACTTAATCAAACCATTAGAATCGATATAATCTAAAAGAATATAAAAAGCATCCAAGATCACGGCTACAAAATCAAGCAGAGTCTAAAGTATTATGAGAACTCTTTCTCAACTCCAAGAATAAATTAATAAATATAAAATATAATAAATAAACCCCAGACTCGAATTCTTAACATATTTAACAGTCACATTTAATGACACTTTTTTTCCCAGTGCACCCTGAATCTCTGTCTGGGGTCACAGAGCTGCTCGGAGTGCACATAACTCTGAGCCCGGGTCTCTTGTCTCATTTGATTGTGCATTTGCCAATTGTGTTGCTTTTTGGCTTTTATTGTTGCGGCTGATTGAAGTCAAGGCCCTGCTTTGTTTTCGATTTTTATGCCAGGCCATTGCAGATATCTGCTAGATACAGATACTCGATTTCGGGCGGCAAGTGGCATTTAAGCGGCAACGCCCACCTCAGCCACCGCCCCGTATCGACACCTACATCTACAGCCTTTAAGGAAAAAATACAAGTAACCCGAGTCCCGGAATCCATAATTAATACATCAGCTACCGATCGGTGGCGCAACTGCAATCGCAAATCAAAAGTCAATCAATAAGAGTTACCACGAATAAAAAAAAAGTAACAGACATCAATCAAGTGTCGGACAGCAAATGCAAAACATGCACACTGCAGACATAAATTGAGTTTATCAAACAGAAGCCAAAACACTGGTTAAAAAGGCCGCCGTAGAGCAAATTTCGAATGCTACAAATGCTGTTTTGGCGTTGAGTTGCAACATTTGGATAATTAAAAGCGTAATTTCCACGGCCTCTGGGGGCAAAGGAGCGGAAAACGACTTAACTTCACTTTTATCCGCATTTGACGGTGATTAACACCGAACCCGCAACCGCAATTGAATCGCTGCACCGACCATTAACCAGGTTCGATCGCTGCTGAGAGGGGCACTTCATATACATATGGTATGCTGAGATACATGGATATACTCGTATATCTGCCGATGGCGGCGTGTGAATATCGCAGCAAAGCCAATCCGCACGGAGCAGTCATTTCCATACGCTCTGTTGCAACTTGCCACTTGCAGTTGCATTTGGCGATGCACGTGCAACGCTTAAATAAATAGAAAACTACAAAATATATAAAGGCAAGGCAGCAGCGCCTACGTACTGAGGCAATCACAGTGGAAAATGATGCCGCGACATTAAAGATCTTGCTGGGGAAATACACTGGGATAAATTTAATATTATATTTATTTACAGAAGTCATTTTTGGAATTTCTATATTATTAAAGACAATTATAAGGAAAGAAAGTCACATTTAACATTTATTTAAAGTTTACTTTTAGCGACAATTTGCTAGGAAATATATGAATTTTTCAACAGTTTTGAAAAATAATGTAAAATTCGTATATTTTCTTTCTATACAATATTACACCATTTATATCTTGTATAAAAAATATTTAAAAATAATAAAAATAATAATTTATAGAATTCTTTACGATATAATTCGTATTTCTGTTCTTTTTTTACACTTTTACAACAATAAACAGATTAAATAATATTTTTTTCAGGTGTAAAGAACATGCTTGTAAATATGTAATTAATAATAACCTAATTTCCAAATGTTTCTTTTAATTTTTATACATTTTTGTAAAGTTATTAATTAAGTATGTACGTTCCCCTTCTTGACAACCAACCCAAAATTGCGGTAACTTACGTTTCCCCAAACGCTTTTGCCCCACTGTGCCATGACTGATGATGCTAGCTGGATAGCTGTGCCTTGTGGCATGATTTTGGCAGTTGCCGCATAAATCAAAAAGTGTCATAATTTGCAACAGCCCGCACACACTAGTGGCTACCCTCCCATATTGCGCATACGCAGCGTTTGCCCCCTGGCAGATGCAGGAGCGTCAAGTTGCAGTACTGCAATCGGAATCGGAATCGGAATTGGAATGCCTTTGCCCTTAAGTAGACGGACATTAATTCCAATTAGAAAATATCAGAGCACACTTGGCAATTGAAAACTCGTTAAAGTTCATTACCTTAAAGCGACGCAGAGACACTAGAAGCGCGGAGGGGGGCTGCCTTTTCGAGTCAATGCCACGCAGATCATGGCAATCTTGGCCAGATCGATACCAGATCGGTGCAGTTAGAAGGCGAAGACGTGCCATATCTAGCCAGAGATCGAAGCTGTACACTTGGGTTGCTGCAATTGCAATTGTCTCGCGCACAAGTGCTTGGCAATTGACACACACGACAATTGAAGTCGCGGCGAAGAGGTGCTGGAAAAATCAAAGCCACTTGGCCTTGGGGCTAATTTCCAGCCAAAGTCCGGAGACCGAAGACCGGGTCTCTGGTCTCAAATTAGCAGCTGCTGCTGGAACGCTGACATTGAAAGCGCTTCGTGTCATAATATTTAAATAATTTATGTGCGCCCCGATAAGCCTCGGATCTTGGGCCAAAGGTAAGCCTTTTCGGCTGTGTATTTATTTATGGCTGCAGCAACCTTGAACCGCCGGGCAGCGGCTCTGATAAATGCAATCGGACACGCCTCGCCCCAAATGCCGCTGAGAGATCGCCGGACCTCAAGACCGACTTCATCTATCCCAGGGGTGTGACCCAAAACCATTACTCTTCGATAGCTCAATGAACTGAAGATTGCAAGGTTAATAAAGTCTGCTCGATTCCGCTTAATCTTGCGGTTTAGATAAGATGTATTATCTTTTTAATCAGATTTTCAATCGAGGGAGAATGTCTTCTTTATTGGTTATATTTTGGGATAAATATTTTACTTAGTTTCTGGTGAATTTTATCACAAATAAAATAAATTATGAACTCTTAATCAGAATATATTTTCTGCTGAAAAAAATCCACAACTAAGACATTCAAATGACGTGGATAATGATTTGGCAAGCGTTCTTACTTAATTTTGGAATGATCCACTTACCGCTCCATCTCCTTGGGGTCCGTGGGAAACCCCCGCCCGATGGTGTTCGTCTCGAAGGGATCTTCGGTGTTGAAACCGGTGGACACTGTGCTGGGTGCCGTGGTGGTGTAGCTATAGCCCCGTCGGGCAGGGACAAGCGGGGGTATGGTGCCCATGCTGCTGCCCAGACCCGGACTGGCCGATCTTCTGTTTAGATTCGGAGGCGGCGCCATGGTGGTGCTGCTCACCGATGGCACAAAGGAGTAACCTCTGCGCCTATCCTGCACTCCAATGAACTCCACATCATGGGTGTTATCCTCACCCTTTCCAGATCGCGGTGACGAAGGGATGGGTGGCGGCGGAGGTCCAAAGGTGTTCGTCAGGATATTGTAGGTATTGTAGTCCCACTCGGATGTGGGTTTGGTCTGGTGAAGGCGTCTTGCGCCCTGCACCCTATTATAGGGATTATGGGGTTGAATCCGTCGTAGTCTGGTGACCTCCTGCATGGTAACACCAGGCAGCAGTTCCACATCCGACTTGGCATTCTGCACAAGCTGTAATCTCCGCTGTTGTCTCTGAGGTGTGCTGGCAGGATTCCCCTGATGACGCGTCCTGTGGCCATGTGTTCGATGATGATGATGCTGATGCAGATGAGTTCTATTCAGGTTCTGGTTAAAGTTTGGGCTCTGGCTGGGGCTACTGCTATTCTGGACACCTGATGCTAGCATCACTGTGCAGCAGAGCAGCAAAAAGCATCCCAAGGAGTTGATTCCCAGCATGATGATGTCCCGCTATCTCAATTCGCTCGTTGAAACTGCAAGGAAATAAAATAAAAGGGGGACTTTATTAAGTGCTGAACTCGTTTTGTTTCGTACTCAAGCCCTTCCCAAATGCATTCACTTTCGTTCTCATTCAAATTCCTAGGCATTTTGCACGCCTCGCGGCGGCGCTTAATGTAAGCAACAAGACGGATCCACGGCTTCTCATTAGCGATTCCTTTGTCCCGTGGAGCGCCGACCTGTCTGTCCATCAGCGGGTAATTGAAAGGTAGCATAAGTATATTAACTAGACTAGAGTCAAGGCTACAGGATCAACACGAAACTAGAATACACTCACTTAAGTATAAAGTAAATAATTTAAAGCTTGTTGATCCCTCTTTCAGTAGCCTAAAAATGACCCAGATTAAACCTAATTTCTGAGAATATTTTTCCTTCTCAAAAAGGACTTAAGGAAGCTACCTCAACAGAGGCTCTATACCAATATATATAGATACAACCCGATGAGGCTGAACGGTTTTCACGGTCGAGTGGCCAACACTTCCAAGTACGGCTCGCTTTTTTTTCGCCTGAAACAAAAGGCAATTTGTTGACGATGACGGTGACTCTGATTATTATTCTTACATGACGTTGTTGTTGTTGCTGTTGCCTCTGTTCTGACCGATAAATCACATGTTAAACAAAAAAAATGTATATACAAAAAAGAAAAGTAAACGCGTTAACAGTTAACCGGCCAAAAACGTGAAGCAAAGTGGAGTGAACCGAAGCCGGAAGCAAGAAATGCATCAATTTTCTCGCTTTGTTCGGTCATTTCTCAAAATTTCACGCACTGCCAAGCCAAAAGCCTCTCATTTGTCAGCATAAAAATACAAATTAAAAAACATAAAAAAAAGAAGAACAGCCACCCTTAACCCATTGGGTATAAAAAAACAATTATTGCAATTGCTCAGTGAGCTTATTAATATTCATTGCTCCAACTTGAATTTATGAGTCCACCCGCCCTGCTCGTTAAAGCGGATCTAACATGTGTTCTTGTGTTTTTTAATTTCGAAAATTTTTACACTGGAAAAATCAGACTTTAAGGTATATTTGGTACAATTTTCTTCAGTTTTATAAATGTTAAAGTATAATTTCAATAAGGATTTCTAGCTTAATTAAGGCAAAGAGTTATTAAAACTTATTTAGAAGTAAATTAAATGAAAATTACATTTAAAAATATTATAAAAAAATTCTTATGTACAAAAATAGTCTAGAAAATTGTTTTTTATATTTAATTTCTTCTAGCATTATACTATAACATTTTCTCTCTCTGCACTTGCAATTGAAAAAGTCCAAAGAACTTTTGATAGGTCCGAATGACAGCAGTCTCTTGACTTGAAGTCGTCATTAACATTTGCTGCGCTAATTAAAAATCAGCATCGAGAGATTGGGAAATTGTGAGACAGTAAGCAGTCAAAATGTGGCAATACCGACCCTTTTTCCCAGATGCATCACAACACGAGGAGGAAGACAAGCACCACCGAAGGGGGAGTATCAATCAGGTGTGGTTTTAAGCCGCTTAGTAAGTGAAACCCTGGGACCCCTTGGGCTCGACTGCCACTCAAATGACTGCCAAATGTCCAACTCAGACTGCAGACTCCAGTCTCCATACTCCACACTCCAGGCCCAATCCCAAAACCAAAACCAAACCCCAACCAGTTGTCATAACTCTGTACAAGTTCCGAGAAATGCAAAAACGCTAAAAATGGTAAAAAGGTTTTCGGGCGCCGCACAACAGCAAACTTAATCGAGACTGCAGACAGACAAATAAACTCAAAAAATATATAAAAAAGAGTGATGAAGAAATCCAAGCAGAGGGGAGAACAACTTGATTCCGTTGAAATCTAAGCCGGGTAACTGCTTCAAAGTCGCTCGGAGTTGACAACTCGCCTTGACCTTGCCGGGATTGCCAAAAACGGTCAGTCCGTAGATAAATCAAATCCCATAGCCGCGGCATTCGTCTGAACCCGAAGGTGGAGATGAATCCAAAGATATATGTATCGTATATGTATGGTATAGAGTTCCAGCCCACTGCCGATCGGCGGCAATATTTTGATATATCTTAAATTAATAGCTGGGCAATGCCATAAGAATTGATTATAAATCAACTTTCGGGTCGCGGTTGCATTTTGGGCACCGCTTTACCCGGAATTTATGCAAAGGCTGCCATAAATTTCCCTTTTTCCTCGTCTAGAAATTAGTGTGTGTTAAATGTTATTGATTTGTTTTCCCAGCACATAAATCACATGGCTAAATACTAGCAAGAATGGGAATGGAGGCGTGTTTCGTTCCCCGTCGGGAAAGTGTCAACTTTATTTTTGTCACCCTGACAAGACACGGATTCTGTGGGAGTATCTGTATCGCAAACTATATCTGTATCTGTATCTGTAGATGTATCTGTATCTGTGGCTGTATCTGTATCTGAGCGAGCTGACCCAGACATGAGCTACGGCCAATGAATCACTAGAGATGCGTAAAACAGACGCTATATATATCAAGAAATTAGGGAAGAAAATTACAGTGAAGTCTGAAATTAGGGTAATTAGAATTTTATAGGAAATTTAATTGGTCTTTGTAGTGAGTCAGAATTCAAGAAGATAATGCTTAAAGCCATGGGTAACTACTTTGTGAATAAAATAATAAAAAAAAAGATACTTTAAATCTCTTTTTTATGATATTGTAATTAATGTGATTATATTTATTTATAAAAAGTTTAGATCATTAGAACAAACAAATGTCTCTAGAATTTTTCTGGATCCTTGTTATTATGTATCCATTTAAGCAACTTTATTTTACAAAATATGTAGTATCCTCTATTTAAATACTTTTATAATCAATCAATCTTCAAAAACTAACAAAATAAACTGAATTTTTACTAGTTTATAAAAATATATTTACAAATTCCTATAGCTAAAATGTAATCTTCAATTTATCAACAAGTAAATACTTTTACATAATAAACTATTTAACAGATATCCTTCTTATCGAATCCCACTCGTTTTCCTACTCTACATGTTCCATAGAAACAGTGCTTATGTCTCATTCCCATTTGACATGTTTTTGGTTGTCATAGGAAATGGTTTTTCTTAGGGGGAAAACTTGAATAAAAAGCGGAGAGATATAGCACACTTTCGTGTTAATTTTTTATGAATAAATCTTTTTCATTTCCCTCATTAATCATCACTGACTAAGAACTGCAGCAATTACAAAATTATCTAATTAAAAAGCAGACATTATGGAATTTTATAAATATTCCGATTTTTACCTTCTTTCAATGGCGTGTAAATTGATCATTATTCGAGGTATTTTTGATCAGAAATTCTGGAATGTAATTTAAATTAAGAACTTTGCCTCAGACTCTCCATTTAAATGTTAATTAAATGCCTCTCTGGCTCGTTTTTTTCTCTGACTCGTTTTTTTTTTTCACAATTTTTTTTGTGCAATTCCAAACAGCTGCCACTTTAGCATGCGTTTTTATTTATGTTTTGTGTAATCGGGGCCGCTCCTCAAGTTCTTATTAAGAGATAAACTAAGAGCTTAACGCCGCCTGCCGAGGAGATCCCCAGACATTCGAGAAATTGTTTGGTAACTCGCCCGTCCAACACCATTTTTTTATGGCTAAGCGAGAAACAATTTTGTATTTTTCAATTTGTTGGCTGCTATTGTTTGCTGTTGCAAACGCTTTTCAGCACTGCTTTCATTAACATTATATCGACAGCTAGGATGGGCTGCAAAATGCCTTAGATCTTGGAACTGGAACTGCATTAAATGTCCGATCTCGCTCTCAAGGGGGCAGTATATTGGGAGAAAAAGTGCACAGAGAAGAATTATGAGTCAGTTTATTGCTTATCTTAAGAAATTTGAATTTTTCAGATTTTTTTTTAAATAAATTACATAAATAAGGGAGCTTTTTTCTTGGGGAAATGTAGATTAAATTAATCCCAAAATTATTGAAGTAATTCTTTTGCAAGTAACAAATTTTATTCTCTTCAAGGGTTCTTCTTAATAATATAAAAAATTGCTGGTCTCTAAAACTCCTAGTTTTTGTCAGTGTAACAATTCCGGGTAAAAAATAAAGCCACCCAGCGACTGATATAATTTTCACGCGGTGCTCTGGAGTTCAATAACCGAACGTTTCGGGTATTATCCAATATATATATCTTATCTGATGGATTGCCAAATATTTGAGATGAAAACCAAGGGTGAGAGAGGTGCTTTTGGAGGGAGTTGCACATTTCATTCATCCCCCCCCGTGGGCCTTGTTTATTGTTCTTGTTGACGACGGATTCGTCTTCGTTTTCCCACGACAGCCAAGACAGCTCTCTGATGGCTTGAAAAATCACGGCCAACGAAATGGTTAATAGTGTGTCGTAGACCGGCGAATTGATAGTATACAATATACATCTTTCACATGCTGTTTTTTTTTGTGTGTTGATATTGTGTCGCTGTCTTTAATATGCAAAATCATGACACATTTGCCCAGCGTTTGTATCTCGTTTACTTTTGACATTCCCCTCCGCCGGCACTGGCTCTCTTTTTCTTTTCTGTTTTTATTTTTCTGAATGTTTTTATTTTTTAACAAGATCAACAAACTGTCATTGGCGGGGAGCAGACGGGGGAAGCGGCAAGTGGGGCCATGGGTCGTTCGATCGCAGCTTTTGTTTACACTTTACTTTCAGTCCAATTAAAGGATTGTTGCCGGCCTTTGTTGCCGCGTTTCCTTCCTAACAAAGTTCGAGTCTCGGAGATGAAAAGCGAAAACTATGCAATATGCTCAACATCGACAGTTTGACATCCAAAAAGCGCAACTACACCCAGCCCGCTTTGCTACACAGTGAGAAAAAAGATACTAATATGAATTAAGGTGAGAGGATAAAATCTCCTTAAGTTTTTACTAAAGTTTAGGTGGTGGAAATATATTGAAAACTTAAAATATATTACTCTTTGGACAAATAGTTTTAAAATTTTTTGAAAATATAATATTTAGGAAAATAAAATAATAATAATATAAATACTTTTTTAGATTTTGCTATTTTTATTAAGTATGTTTCAGTCTCCACCGAAGAAACCTTTACAAATTCATTAAGTTTGTCCCTGAATTCGTACTTGGGAATTCTAAGCGTCTAGTATTTTCTATGTTTACGCTTATTGGTGGTAATTGTATAAATTTTTATATTAATACAAAATTTTGGCATTGATTTTGATTGGTTAAATTTAAAACAATAAATTTTAGATCACTTTTATGATAAAATATTAAAAACAATGATGGTTTTCTAATTTCCGAATTAAATTAATTCTTAAAAAATTAAATATCTACCTATATCCCTAAAAACCTATTCCCCTACATTTTTCCACAGTACAAAACTGCAGCAAGTTCAACTTCAAATGCGAAACCCATTTCAATAACAATTGCAATAGTCCAAAAAAGGCAAAAGGAAAAAAAACAAGGCAACGGCGTAGCTCGCTTTGCTGGCATGTCCAGTCTTTTGCTAATTGCTTTGCAGCTGCGCTGCCACGCCCCCTCGGGCCCCAAGCCTCCTAGTTGCATATCCCCATGGCCATGTGTATATCCCCACTGGTGTCCCCCTAGTTCCATAGCTCATGGTGACCCTAGACTTTGTTGGGGGAGCTAAAGCCAGACAAAAGACATAAACCCAGTTACCGTTAGCTGCGTAATTTATGCAAATGACTTTGGTTAATTAGCAAAGCAAAGGAGAGAAAAAAAAAGGAAAACAAAACAAGAAACCAGTGGACATGCGCCATGTGACGTACTCTCCCCCCCTCTCGAGTTTTTCCGTAATAATATTTGTTGAAAGATTATGATATGCAGGAAGGCACGATCGCATTTTGGGGCGAATCGTGCCCGTAAAACCCGATTTTCGATTGCGCACCTGCCCCGAGCGATATGTGTCCAAATGCAGTGTGCATTTGCACAAAATGAGAAATATTTAATATTATATATAAATTAGCCCTTGCATAATTACCTCACAAAACGCGTCACAACAAAGGGGAGTCTATTAATAAAATTATTCAAGTTTGTTGCATTTTCCACTTTTGTCACACCATTTGTGATGAAGATAATACTTTAGATACTGGTTGAATTAACATATAGCCACCTAAGGTATTGACAAGCATGATGGGCTAGGGAAGAAAAGTTGAGGCTGAGCCTCTTCGCAGATTGGAGAATTCATTCATGGGAAAATACAGCCGGTTAGATTATTAAATCTTCTCTCAGTCAGCGTAAATTAAGGCGTAATTCGAATATTTAATGAAAATTTATTTGCTTTATCAGGAGAGTTTAAATTATGATCGAAAATAAGACATAAAATAAGAAAATCAAGAGGGAAAACTTTAAAAATTATAATATTTCCATTATTAATATAAATATATCTAAGCTCAATTTATGAGATAAAAACGTATCTGGACAAAGTACAATGAAAACATAAGGCTTATGGTGTTATTTAAATATTTTTCAGTTAAAAATATTTATAGTTAAATATATTATATATTATTTATGTTAAGATTTATGCATATATTTCTGTACATATTGAACCTTATGTAGTTTTACTTCAAAGCAAAGAAAGACTTTCTTTCTTATTAAAAAACTATATATAATTCAAGTTAATTATAAATAACTTTAACCTTAAAAGGAAAAATGTATTTAAAATGCATTATTAAGTTCAAATTATGTAGAAATTTACAATCATTAGCATATCTTTCCCTAACATGACTTACTAATTAAGAACTAATTTTTCTGTATCAAAGAACATGGCTTTATCCGCCTTGGGTTCCCACAATAATCAATTCCCCAACCATTTATGGCATTGTGTGGTTAGAGTTCTCCAGAAAAATGACATAAAGGTAGACACAACTTAGTTAGCCGCTCCGCAAAATGCAAATTACGTCCATAAGTGACATGCAACTCCCAGACAGGATCCCCCCCCCCCACTGCCCACCGTGGTGGGGTGTGCGATTTTGAGCAAGATTAATGCACTAGGAAATGTCGCGCGTCGCTTGACACACATTCAATTCATAAATAATTGCAATTAATTAACAATATTTGCATGAGACTTACACTTGGGTTATCGTCGAGAGGGGAGGATGAGGAGATTCCCTGGTATTATTTCGCGATAATCTTAAAGATGCTCAAGGCACGAGGCTCACACAAATAAATCAAAACACAATTATGTCAAATTTACAATCACAAACCATAAATTGAATTGAGTTTTTGCGCTGACATTAAACAGATACGCGGCATTTGGGTTTTATTTGTATTCTTTTTTGTAATCACTTAAAAACAGAATCGTGAATTGTGGGGGCTTTTAAAATATATTTATAAGCAATTATGCCTGCCCCTTGCTATGGTGTTTCCTCTGCGGATTCTGCGTTAGCCGCTTCCGTGTGCCAAGCGATCGGGAAAAACTCGCTGAGATCTTCGAGACTCGAGATTTACTTTTCTGCTGGCGCGGCGGAGCTAACACGAACCAAACCGATCGCTTAGAAGTCCCGAGACGAACTGAAAAGTGCCCGGCCGAAACCGAAAGTCCAGTTAACGATCGCCGATCGGCGGCACAGTCAGTGCTGTCCGAGCTGGAAGATCTTTTTTAAGAGTTGTGTTAATACATAATAAACTATCTGAAAAGTAAACGGAATTCAATTTATAAGTTTAATATATAATATGTAAATTATTAATAATATTTATATTATTAATAGCATTATACAATATGTTTTTATTTAATTTTTACATCTTTAAATTCCCCTCTGTAATTGCTGAAGCTTTATTTCCGTAAACAAATAATGTAATAAGGTATAATAAATATTACAGATTCTGCAAAATGTTTGTTTATTTTGATTATTTATGACGGAATCTGTTGAATTAATATATGTGTTCCTCGTTAATTACTCATTTCTCTGTTATCTTAAACAAACTGATGACGTTTTTACAATGTGCTAATGTAATATTTGTTGTTTTTATGAATTGATTTCAATAAACTAAATGTTAAATACAGCAAATTTAAACTAAACTGATATGGGTTTTAATATGAAATGCATATTTATATTTAAATAAAAAGATTTAATATAAATTTATGATGTATGCAAGTCATCTTTTCTTGAATAAATTATTGAAGACTTGGAGAACTAACTTATTTTTATGTATATTTTAAAAGTCATTTGAAACAGTATTTTTTATCAAATGCATAAGTTTCAGATGATAATAATAATAATTAAATAAAATCATTAAAACATTATTTATCTATTATACGTCTATATAAATAAAGTAAAAAGTTATATATTTTATTCCTATATTTCGCTATATAATATGAATAGCAAAATGACATATCTGCAAAATAATGTATTTAGAACTAAAGTAAAATTAATTTAATACAATATGAAATTTATAAAACTATATATTTTAAATTAGAAAAGGAAATACAGTTGGCCAAGCTAAGCCTCTTTTCTTATTAGGTTTTTATTTAGTAAGTTTTCTTTTCGTTTCTTATTAGGTTTTTACTTAGTTTCTATAAGCCTCACATTTCAAGGAACTGTAATTTAAGGTAAATTAATATATTTAATTTATTCTTTATTTTTTACTTATTTATTATTGAAATCCCTTAATTTCAAGCTTTATATAGCCAAACCCTCATCTCCATCAGACCAGTTGAAGCCCATGTTCGGTGCCCATTCGCTGGTTCGTTCATACAAAATTGGACTGATTGGAAACAAGTTGGCTTCCTTTGTTCGATGCAACTGAGGTCCCTACGGGGATGGAGTGGGCGAGGGAGGGACTGCTGAGGCGTTCAGTGGGTGGTGGGTGGGTGGAGTGAGCAGCAGGTAAGCTGTATTTGCCCTCGGCTGGTCGTTGCCTGATGTTTGAGTGCATTACTACAGCTGTTTTGTTTATACGCGAACGTTGCGTCTCTTTTCTCAGGGCCCAAACTATTCCGAGTTTGCGGTTTGTGCTTTTTATGGTCTGCCTGTTGTTGTTGTTTTTTTGGTTAGTGTTGCCGCTGCTGCTGTGTTGTTCTGCCAGCTACTGTGTTGTCTTTGTTGCCTCTTCTTCGGCGGATGGTGGCAAGTTGTTAAGTTAAATATTTACCCACAGCTGCGCTCCGCTGATCTTTCGCCTGGAGAATATCCCAATCCGAAGACGAAGCCGAATTCGAATCTAAAGAGTGTAGAGGGAAGAGGGAAGATTGGAGAACGGAGAACACAGAACTTGTTGGCAGCCCTTCTTCATATGACCATATCGGGTGCTGGATCTGTCGTTGTCATCATAAGAGTGCTACTGCGAGCCACACTCGAAAAATGCCAACAAGTCTATGTCTTTCCGTAGAAATATTTCTGAAATATAGAAAATTTAAATATCATAATTCAATCTCTAGAAAAATAAGATCTTTTTCTCACTAAACTTTTTATATTACTTTGAATATTTCTTCAAAATTCCCCACATTTCTTCCATGTGCATTTGCCTTGTACTATTAGGCATGGCCCGTGGACTAGCTGCCCGGGAGCTGAGCACATTGGACATGTCAAAAGGATTTGCGCCTGCGCTGTGAGAGATCCCAGGCTCAGGCATTCGGCGGAGTATCCCATAAACTGGTTGCACATTCCCTGGCTGAGGTATAAAAAAACACAAACCTGGTCATAAATCGAACAATGTGCCAGCCATTGACAGTTCGCTTAGCGACCCAAGGGTCTGGTCTTCTCTCTTGTTATTATTTTTATTATTTGTGACGGAGTCTGGCTTTGGGTTGCCTCCGTGGCGTGTATCACAATTTATTGGGCTATTAGTTGCCACTTGAGTGGGGACTTTGGGGATCGCAAGGGAACACCCACGCTGCGTTCCCAAATCGTATTCAAATAAAGCATAAAAGCTGATAACAAAGGCCTGGAACCCCGCTCAGACAATTAACTGATAACAATTCATTAGCATTTCGTGTGGGTCTCGATCTTCGTCGATCGTCATCATCGTCATTATCGCTTCCATCATCATCATCGGTTGCAGTGTCTATTCATGGGGTGTTTAGGTAATTTGACAGCCGTTTGATGAGACCCCAGAAGATGCAGCCAAATTGTATCTTCTTTAATGACTCAGGTGGGTGGGATCGTGGAATCGATTTTGGTATAGACAATCTGGTTTAATGGGGACTAGAAAAATGCATGCTTTTAGTTGATTTTTAAACAAAAAATATATACAATTTTATGCTAAAGTAATAATACTATGGAAACACTCAGTAAAACTTCGGAGTCTTCAATTTTCAAAGTAAACTGTAAAGGTTAGTAGATTCAAAAATTTTTTACATTAAATTAAGACATATTTTTTTATAAATATTTAATGTAACTCTATAATTTCACACGGGTTCTAAAATTGATATTTATTGATCTTGATATTTTTTATTGGTGATAAATAATTTGAAAACCGTTTTATGAGCAAAAAGCAGCTAAATTATATCTTTATTTAATAGGTCAAGTGGGTGTATTCAAGAAATCGATTTAGCCATAGAAAATCTAGATCAATGAAAAGTAGGAAGAGGTATACCATAAATATATTAACGTATAAGAGATAAAATCAATAGAAAAAAGCCAATAAAATGTTGATGTCCCTGGAAATTAGTTTATAATAAAATATATAACCAATAATAAAATGTTATAAATATTATTTACATCAAAAGTTAAATATTTGATTATGTTTGTAAACATTTTTATCAATAATAATCTTCAGATAACAATTTAAGCCGTTGATTAAAATATTTACAAGTTCATAAATATTCTTAAAGTAATTGTTAAATAAAAATTGGAACATAAGTTCACTAATACTTTGATAATGTAAACCAAATACTTAATTACCATTTCCCAAAATATTTTCAAGTTTATTATTTTACCAATTTTGATATAACAAAATAAATACCTTTTAAATTACCCAATATAAAAATTATTGGTAAATATTCCTTCAAAACACAACAATTAAGAAACAAAGACATTAAGGCTAATATCTCTTTTATGCTCATATAAAATCTAACATAAATTCAAGACTCGAATTGCACTCCATCTGATGGCATCGGTGTGTCAGCAAATTTGTTTGATTCTTGGTAAAATCGTAACTTTGCGCCCTGTCAGGCATTATCCATGCCTTGCATCTGGGTTGGTTTTGGATTGGCTTTTCGAATTGGAATTGGAATCGGAGTCAGTCCCGGGGGCTGGGTCGCCAGATCATGCCTCAATTTGGGGCAATGTGTGGTGCAGTCTTACTTGGCAGGGGGGGAAACCCGGTGAGGAATTTCTGACTGCGACCATAAATTGCCAACGAATGTGTCAAGCTCGTGGCGAAAAATTTTCCAAACAAATTCACTGAAATGTTCTTTTGACACTGTCAACCCCCCCGTATACGCCCATAATTTATATGATCACGCTGACGGAAGCGCACGAATTGCCATGGCGAATCGCAAATTGTACAAACAAAAGCTAAATAGCTAACAAATCGGAAAACTGGCAAACTTGAAATAATCAAATGATGAGCCGGGCGAGCAATCTATCGTCGAGTGGCGACCTTGAGGCCTTATTAAGCCGTAACTTCCAGGTTGCTAAGGATAAGCAGCCACTAATGATGAGGCATTGATCATGCTTAGCATGGCTTTGGGGTATGATTAAAATTCTACTGATTAAAGCAATGATTGCTAAGGTGTCTAAATTCCAGAGAAAATGAAAATATAAATCAGCAATCGATCACTCAATACTCAAATTTTCATAAACACAACAGCTTGTCCCACATTTGTTGTATTTCAAAATTTATTCCGGACCTAGACAATCAGACCCAAAATGCAGTTGGCATTCTGGAAGAGCACTGCAAAGGAAGACCAGCTCGAACAGATAACGCCCATCTGGAAGGATTTGAATGCAACATTCGTGACGTAAGAGGGGGAATATTGAAATATAAAAGTTTTAATATCCTGTATTCGGTTTAGTGTCCTCAATTGGAGCTGGCTCATCTACACCATCGCCCTGCTGATGATCTCCGTGTGCTGCTATTATGCCTACCGTGATCGCTGCCGCCGGACGGAGACTATGCGACGTCGCCGGGTGGTTCAGCATGCCGAGAATCGGTATGAATATAAAATTTTTATTCCAATTATCTGATTAATATTTCCCTTATTTATTTTTTCTTAGGCCCCCGCAAAAGCGGCGACCGAATGCTGCCTATCGTGATCACCAGATCTATCGCTATATCATCCTGAGCCTTGCCAAATACATGCGGAATCCGGAGGTCATTCGTCCGTTCATCGACCACATGGAAAAGCTTTATCCCCCCAGGCATTCTCTGGCTGATCAGAAGCAAATGGACGAGCTCTCGGCGAGTGTGAACGATGCAGAGCCAAGCGTGGGCGAGGATTGAGGGATCGAAGGGTTCAAAATCAAGGACAGCATCAGCTTCCACCGAAATTGTTGGTACAATCGAATATGCCTCATCGTTTAGATAATAATATCAGAAGGTATTTTTTTTTTAGATACAAATTTGGTAAACTAAGCTAATATGAATGAACTTTGCACAAAATTTAAACTTTTTGAAATTGTAAATATTTAATAAAAAAGAAGAGAAAGGAGGGAAAGAAAAGGGATATAATTTGTACTTTAAATAACGATAAAAGTAATTAAATTAAAATTTAAAATTAGGCTTCAACAAAACTAAAGGAGAATACCTCTTTACAAACTTAAAATAAAAGTGACCTCAGAAAATCTATGAAATCAAATATATTTATTTATTTATTATTATTTTTGGTGAGTTTTTGTATATTTTATAAGTATTCTGGTTATGTTATTAAATTTATTTTAATGTGTTTTTGTGTACTTTTTGGTGTGTGTTTGGGGTATATCTTAAGAGTATTTTGTTGAATTCTTAACCCATGAATTACTCGAAATAATCTTTTATTAATTCATGGGTAATTCATCATTTAAGTGATTCATTTATGGGTAAATCTCCGGTGAATTAAAATGTGAATTGATGGTTAGATTAACGGGTTCATAGGCGAATTCATGGGTGACTTTATGGGTAGTTATTAATTAGTAAAATAACTTTCTGGCTTAAAATCTACAAAGCTTAATTTTATAGTCAATTTTTAAGTCTTAATTATTTCCTCATCCTTTTAAAACATATATTCTGCATAAATAGCATATAAAATATCTTTAAATACATGATTTTCGAACCCTTCTCATAGTTATCCCAAAAAAACTTTCAAAAACCTTAAAAAAATAATTAAATAAACCCTGAGAAAGTGCACAAACTAATTATTTGAACCAGGCTTTCAGCCTGAGCACTCCCAGTGCATGCGCAGTGGCCGGGACTCTTGGCGGCGGTGCCTAAAAATATGCAGTGCTATTTTTACCTGCCACAAATATAAACAAACTCGAATGCCATGTGCGTCGCGGAGCTTTCAGCTGGCGGCAGAGCGTGGCCCAAAAAGTAGGCGAAAGCTTGCGCTCTTTCCTGTTGCTTGTTGTTGCGGCTTTCCAGCTAAAAGGGGCGCTCTCTCGCAGGCTCTCTCTCTTGGCCAAGTTCTCGGGGCGTTAGCAGCAGTGTTGCCAGTTTAGCTTATTGTAAGCTAAGTTGTAGGATATTTAAAACTGGAAAAGTTTGTAAAATTTGAATCTTATAGCTTGAAATATTGCTTTTTTTCAAATTCATCTAGAATATTCCAGCTTTGATAGTATTTGCGAATTTAAAAGTTTGTTTTGTAAGAAAAATATGCATGAAAATACCGGAGCTTGTCCTTTTTTATCTATATTATATGATCTTGAATTTATTTCTAATCTATAGTGTCATAGAAGATCTATGTACATGTAGATGTTGGCTGAAGTGTTACCCCCAATCAATCAATTTGGAGTGGGAAATGTTGCCATAAGTACACCTTTCCCGAAAAATACTTCAGGCTTCTAGAAAATAAAAAAATATATATTTAAAAGACAATAAAGATGACGAAATTGATGGACTATTAACCAATTTTATTTAATTGCAAAGAACATTTTTAGAATAAAGTTTTTAATAATTAATATTAAATTATTTATTAATAAATAATAATAATATGTTTAATAAGTTTATTGTTCACATACATGTAGAAAAAACTATTATAAATTCATCAACAATCACCGTTTAACTATTGTTTTTTCTTTTGAAAACTGTCGTAATGAAAATTTAAAGACCTAATCATAAATGATTTTTGCAACCCACATAAAAACATAATAGAGTTTTATGTTTTAATTTTAGCTTTTTCTAACTTATACGGGCGCCCATCGCCTGGCAACACTGGTTAGCAGCAGCAGCAGCAGAGAAAATGGGAAAAGCGGAAAAGCAGTTGCCAGTTAGACAGTGAGCGCGTCGCACCTACGCACGCATCGGAAGAATCAGCGGTTGTTGTTGTTGGAAACGGTGGAAGTCCACAAACACACACACACATACACTCCAACACACACACACACACTCCCACGGCAAACACAATTTTCCGCTGGCCAAATAAAATAAAGAAGAAAAGAAAAATAAAAGTTTGTTCAGCCCCCGTTTTTATTTTGGTTTGGCCCGCAAACAATCGACAAAAGAAAATGTAGCGAAATCAATTAAACCGTGCAAATTACCAGCGAGACTCTAATTGAAAAATCAAGGCACACACCTGCGCACATGTCTGTGAGAGGTCCTGTGCGTGTATCCGTGTATCCGTGCGTCTCTGTATGCGTGTTGAAGGCTAAGCAGAAGCAGCAGCAGCAGCCGCGGAAAAGCCAACAAGTAAAGCGAACTCCGAGAGTTGCATGTGTCCCGGAAAATTGGAAAAGCGACGCGTCGCCAGCACGTGTGCGTGGAAAGCCTTGGAAATTGTTTGACCGCAAAAAAATAATACAAAACAAAACTTATGCTCGCAACGTGAAATCATAAATTAAAATATATATCTTTCCGCAAAGCCCCGCAAAATTATCTTATCAAAAACCGAATCCATTTAATTTACAATACCACCACCACCCACCAAATACCAACTGCATGCATTAAAATATTATTTGATTGATTTATTAGTGAAGCAAAGGCCAGCTTAGCGAGCCGAAAGGGAGCCGACTTACCCGCTGGATATATAGTTAAGACCCCGAGAGCCCCACATTTATCTATAGATATCTTATAGTTCTTGCCTGTTGCAGCCGAGGGACAAGCAAAGTGATAAAGACAAAGTGTTCAAGACAAAATGTAATAAATATTATTAAATATATATGTACAACAGAAAACCAATAAATAATTAACTTAAATAACTAAACGCTAAGCTGGAGCTCGGAGCAATGTCAAGGGAGCGGACACGCAAGGATGTCCCGTCTAAGGTGAGTAGTAAATCTAATTTACAATCCTACCTCAACAAAAAAAAAAAAAAAAACATTACAAATAAAATAAAATAAATGGAAGAAAAAAACAAAAAGAAAAGGAGTTATATCGAAAGAGCAAAGCAAAACATAAACAACCCCGAAAAGAGCGAAACACAAGAAGTAATAGTAGAGGGAAAAGCGCTGGTAGACACTGGGGAAAACTGTGAAAATAAATACATTTTGGGAGAGTCTTAAATAAGTAATAAATTTGAAAAATATTAAGAAATATTTTAAAATGTTTCCCAAAATAATGAATAAGATTTTAGGAAAGTTTATAGTAAATCCCAAGTTAAATATAAATTCAAAGAATATTTTAAAGAAAATTCTAAAATTTATTGATATACAAAAGAGGTGCTTTAGGTGTCAATCCAATCAAAAATGCTTTATATATTTTCCACTAATTATTGGATTTTTCCCCCGGTTCTTAAGTATATCTGATTTTTCCAAGTGCCTTCTTTTCCGCTCTTCTTCCAAAAGGAAATGCTGTGCTGATTTTCTCTTCTCGGCCATGTCCTGCTCTTGCAAATTGATGTAGAGATACGAAAATAGGCAAAGTTGGGCAAAAAAAAAAAAAAACAACAAAAAAAAGAAGAAAAGCAAAGAATTCGGTGGAAAAGCTCAATGCAAAGAAAGGCTGCGTTCGTAGGGGATTAGCCAAAGCCAAAGACTTTGCGCAAATACTGAAAAGCTCGGGCTCAGCGCATCATTTTCCACGCAAATTTCGTTTGCGAAAATTTCAATTTATGTGTAGCATACAGGATTTGCAGGACATGTGTATGTGTGCATCCTGTATCTCGGTCACACGTTGTATGATTTTTTTTCTCATTTATTGACTTGGCCATTTTATAGGCAATTTGTCCTTTGGCTGCCGTCGATAGCTTGTGTTCTGTCATAAAATTGCGCGCCAAGAGAGAGCGCAAAGCGAATCCTTATCCTTATCGGCAAGGACCCAGCTACGGCAACGGTCTGCCACCGCCGCCAAGTTGTTTATTTTGTCGTAAATTTGCCTTCAAGGACGCGACGACACCGCACACTGCCGCCAACCTCCCAGAGAAATACCACCCTTACCCTCTCACATGGCCATTTTATCGATCACACAATGGGAAATTTCACACGTTGTGTTGTCCCAAAAGAGCTGCCAATTGGCCGGGGATATTATAGTAGTTGATTGGGTTTTAATTTTGGGTTAGTTAATATTTGTAATCTATCAATCATAATTAAAAGAAATTTGTATTAAGACGTATATTTATACAATTTATTTTACAATTTAAATTAGTTTTTTGGTAAAGAAACAAGTATTTTCCCTGATATTGTACAATTTATGTAACTAAAGTCACTTTTGTTATATTAAAATTGTTATAATTTATTAAACTTGTTACTTTAAACACTATAGTCCACAATTGTAGAACATTCTACTTCATATACGCTATAAAATAAGTATATATTCCAGCCACTTCTATATAAAATAATAGTTAAAAATTCTTATATTGTATAAATGATCATAAAACATTGATACCACTGATAGATTTGAAACTTTAATCAACATTTTAATTGTGCTTCTGATTCTATTAAAAATCTCCTTTCTTAAAATAAGGAAAATATAAATATTTTTCCTATAAACTACCAAATATTTCCTTCAATTTGTTTCCAAATTGCAACCCATACTTATTATTACCCTGCTACCACTGTAATGTAAAACCCACTCCCTTGTTGACTTGCGTTTTGTCTTTAATTACGTGTGCTGCAATTGGCAACTTCAAGGTCGTTGCCGTCTTTTGCATAATTAAGGATGGCCCAGAAGAAGCGAGTGGCTTTTGTTCTGGTTCCTGAATAATGCAATTGACGCGGACGTGTGGGTGCTGACACAGTTGCCATTTTTCACACATGACTGGCGAGGGAGGGTGAGGGGGGTAGCAACATGCAACATTCGCCGCATGTCCGGCACTCGAGTGCAATTTTCATTGCATACTCCAAGGCTCTCGCTAGCCGGAGACTAATTTACATGCCGAATGACGCTGCTCGTCTCGTCTCGGTTTCCAGCATTTATGAGTCGTGACGTTGGACTCTTGGCCATCCCATCGCATGGGACGCTCTTGCCGTGGCTTTGTGTTTCGGGCCACGTATTCAATTAGTCCAATGGAGAGAGCAAAGCGTTGCAGCTGCTGCTGTCCACAAATTTGCATGCATAGGGAAAAAACCAAAGGGTTTTTCGTCCTTGAGCTAAAATTCACCGGTTAAATGTTGAAGAAATGTCTGGAATTCAATTTTTGGGTGAATTTTTTGGGGGTTTCTTTGCGTCTTAAGACAATTTTATTACATATTTAAGCAATGAAAATGTTTATTTATATTTTCCGTCCTGAAAACTCTTTAAAAAATATATAAAATTAAATTAGAAAATTCGTATAATTTAATATTAAATATTTTTGTATTAACAAGTCAAATAATATGTAAAGTTTCTTACTCATTTCAAAAAAACAAACCATTTGGCTCATAATTTGACCCCCACTTAAAAACTCTAAGAAAATGTAGTAATAATATTTCTTAAATATTCAAGTTAATATCTTTCTTGATTTATGACCACAACGTGTCTGCATTTTTGGCATTTGTGGCACCCACAAAAAAACATTTTGGAAAGAGTGAGAGTGAAAGTGAAATGGTTGTTTGGCGGCTTGTGCTTTTGACAACAAATAACAAACCAAACAGCGAGAAAAACAACAACAAGAGAAAAAAAAAAACAAAAAAACAGATACAACAAACCAAAAAAACGCTGCTATATTTAAACGTCTGAAAATAACAACAACAAATTAAACGAAATATATTTATATAGAAATAATAGCCCAGTAGCGAACAGCAGATGCTCTAATAATTAATATTTAAAATGAATATATTACCATAGACAATATATCTATTTGTTTTAACAGACTTTTTTCAGCTGTTATTATACATTTTCATTAATCAATCGCATATACACCAAAACTATGACTGTTTTTTTTTCACAAAAAGAAAAACAGCATTTAGCCAAATGAAAAGAAAACATTTCGGCCCAAAGGCGGAGAAGAAAAACAAAACAAAAAGCTGGTCGATGGCCGGCCTAAATGGACGCACACCCACACACCCTAAATTCCCCAACACACCCTAAATATTCCGCCTGCCTAAATTTTCCCTGCCCCTGAAATTTCACCACCCAAAAGCTGGGAATTTCCTTTCACCTCCCTCTTGAGGCGCCCACAAATCGCAACTTTCTGTTTTTGTTTTTCCTAATTAGTTGTGGGCAGTGCCCGCCTTGATTTATATATTTATGATGGGCGTGGCACTGGGCTAGTGCCAACTAATTGCTGGTTTAGAAGGACCTTTTAGATTCCTGACTAGGCCAGGCTTATACCGATTAACGGATACTCGTATCCTCGAGTGTTGTGCTCTTGGCAGCTGCTGTGCACAAATTGGTTAAATGTCAAACCTTGCTGGCTGCTTCCGTTTCAATCCCGGACCACCAGACTTGGCAGCTCTTTTAGCGTCAGTTTGCACATTGAGCCAATAAATTGCAAATGAAATACAAGTAGCAGAGCGACGGCAAAGCCTTGGGTGCATGGAGAGAAATATATTTGTGGGTTATTAAATAAACACAAAAAAAGAAATATAATGGTTGGTTTTATAACAAAATAAAAATTTAATATAATATAAAATCAAAATAAATATAATATAAATATTATTCATTGGTTCCCAAGATATGAAATCAATTATTCAGGGTACCCAAAAGTTTGCTGTGATTTTATTATAGTTATATTATTCAATAATACAAATAAGAGACAAATATAATAGTTGCTTTTATATCAAAATAAAAAAATTTTAAGCAATGTGAATCAATTATATGATATGAAATATGAAATCAATTATAAAGTGCACCTAAAAGTATGTTGTGATTTAATTTTAGTTATTTTTATGGTCTTTGGGACCATATCATACATGATACCCCTTTAATTATGGCATAATTTAACAATGTGATTATGACTACATATATATTTTATTTTAGCTTATAAAGACTTTGGTACTAGGTTATTATGATTATGTTCAAGCCACTGGTTCCCCACTGGTTACATTATAGTACTATAATATTTACTATTTTCCCGATCCTCAAGCTTATTTCCTGTTAAAAATCTTTTCAAAACCCGTATGCAGTTTTATATTTTCCTCTCTCCTCCAGTTTTTAAAAGTGTGCATTGAAACCGCATCGTCACGATGCCACTATTCCAACCCCACCGTTCGCCATTGGCTTTATCCGTTTCCCTTTGGCTTATCAATCAGACAGCAAATAACAGCAACAAATAAACAAGTTGCAGGCATTTAAAGGGACGACAACAACAACAACTGCAACAAGAATAGTGGCAGCAGCGTGGATGACAAATTGATGCATTGCCGTATTGATTGCTCCACTGGCTTTGCGCTACTGCCACTGCCACAATGGACGCCTTGGCTGAATGTCAAGTCGCAGCATTGAAACGAATTTCGTGTTGTTGCTGCCGTTTCATTCTCTCTTTTTTTATTGATCGATTGTTCAGTATTTGATTGTGTTTGAGGGCGTGCTGGCATGTGTGTGTGTGTGCCGGTTTCAGGAGCCAATACAATTGTCCTTAGCGCCGAGTGCCGCAAGTCTTATTTATTACGCATACGTCACGTTGCCAACAGCGAAGGCGGAAGGGGCGGTCGCCCATGACTGTGACCTTGCCAATTGCAAACATCTGCAGAAAAAAAGAACTTGCAGTCACTATAACATTTGAGTTTTCCGCTAGATACTCGTGGCATTCAAGCATCAAAAACTTGGGGACCAAGGGGAAATCTGAATTAGCAAAATCCTGAGGGAAATAAAACAATATAAAACTAAACACGCGCGCGTCGCCAAGTCGCGGTTTGTCCTTGGCCCCGCCCACCACATCCTTCTGTTCTGTTCGCCCTATTTATCCACCCGCGCAACGCAAAATTGGCCCAAATAAAAGCATTGCGTATACGACATGTGGTACGGCATTTCACAATGCGGTTTATGGCCATAACAGCGGGTAGCACGTGAATTTAAGTTGGCCCAATCACGCACCCCCCGGGCAGCATTTGTTGTTCCTTTTGGAGGGCGAAAATATTCAGGGCATTTCGTAGGGAAATTGGATTTTTTTATGACCTTTCTTCTTAGGCGAAGTTTGTATTTGGGTTGATTTTATTTCTGATATTACGTTGAGCTTTGGGATTGAAATAACTGATCTGGGGAAAGGGATTTTTGATATAAAGTTTTCTAACTTTTGTTTACTATACATGAAATATTTTCACGGGGTGCCTAAAAGTATACTATGATTTTTTTCTGTTGTTTCTTTTGTGTTTTTGAACGGTTTTAATTGGAAATATAAATAAATTGAAAGATTAAAACCTTTTAAGACTTTTAAAAATCTTAACAAAACGAACAAATTAAACGAATTTGTTGTAGTTTTGTTATTTATAACCTAAAACCTCATAACCTCTCTTCTCGGATTTGTATATTTTTCCCGAACTTTTCCTCAAACAAATAAACTATCAAATTTCCTGTTCCTGCAAACGGAACTGTTGCATTTTTGAAGTGAAAGTTTGCTGCCTCTTTAATTGCATTTTGCCTGCGGGCATTTTTTGGGTTGACGAAAAAGTTTGTGGCCAAAAGTTTTGCTCGATGAACAAGCTGGCGAAGCAACAGGCTGCAGGAGCCAGCGAAGACTGCAAAGTCTTTAAGCCACTGAGTGACAGGAGCTGCCAAGTGTGGCCAAGGACGCAAAATGTGCAGCCATATGCGACATTTGACATGCGTAGGCATAAATTATGCACTGGGCGAAACAGGTGGCCATGTAAACAGCCTGAATTAAATATGGCAGAGCGCAGTGAGAAATAGTAAGACAATACAAGCTGGAGGCAGGGACCGCGCCAAGGTGAGGTCATGCTTATGTAAAGACCAGCAGCAGCCACGTGGATGGCGACGACGATGACGATGATGACGACGTGGTGCTGGCGCCCATCTACAGCAGCCTTGTCGCCATCACAGCCACGGCAGTGCCCAACCACCCATCCAGTGGCTAACGTCATCAAAGGAGTATCCTTCTTGGGCCTGCAGGTCTTGCCTTGGCCTTTGCGGCGGTGTTTCGCAATTTGTTTCAAACAAATGTGCCCCTCGAAAAGTTTATTTATAGCGCCACGAGAGAGAGCCTGGCACATCCTTTGCCATTCTCACCCTGCCACCTGGCAACCTGGCATTTGGATACGATTTTAAGGCGATTCTCTGTGGGATTCCGTGACACATTCGATGGGTATCCGTTTGTGTTTACGTATCCTTTCGGTCTGGCAGGACTGGGTCTGAGTGTAGCCCCATTGTAAACACGCATGGGATACATATTTTATGGGCTCTAACGCCGGGAAATCTACGAAACAAGAATGGGGAAAGAGGTCAACAAAAAGTTGAGTGCAAACATACATTGCGTTTCGGTGGTGAAATTGTGTGTGTAGTATTATGTGAGAAATATATAATGGTAGGTGAATTACTGTATAATTTCTGGCCACAAATTTAAACTTAAAATTAGCCTTGAGTGAGTCCAGGGATAAATTATATTTTGACATTAACTAAAGGATAAGACATGGTGTTAGTTAAATTTTAGGCAAGAAGAAAACCTTTTATAAAAGCTTTAGAGATATTTTATGATTTTTTAAACAAGAAATATAGTTTAAATTATTGAAAAGCCATTTTAAAACAATAACTTATAATAAAAACATATACAAATAATTATACTAGCAATTGTAGTTTAGAATAATACTTATTTTATAGGCCTTAATGGGTTAAGACCCTCATATTATTAATTTATATTCTATAAACTGTTCAGTACTTAAACTTAAAATGTATATACAAGATGCTTACATTATTGGACCCTTCTATACCCCTGACTCTAACCAAAAAGGATAATCTGAAGGCAGAAAAAAACGCGGCTCAGAAAAGCAGGCCACATATTATTTTTAATTATGGCACGCGCTTAATGAGCTGCGCTGCGTCCCAGTGGCAATCAAAATCTCATCAGCTTGTTAGCGCTCCTCGCGTTGTTTTTATATGTATTTTGTTTTATCCCCTCGAAGAACAATGAAAATATTTACATAATTAATCACCGGGTCGTGCTTATTGATTGTCCCGCCAAGAGGCCAGAGTCGCGGGTTCGCTGAACCCTTATTTCTCCGGATTCAAGTCCATATTCCGTACTCATTATGAGAATCGACAACGGCGACGACGACTGTTCCGGCTAAGTTGGCAGCAATAACAGTTATTTCAGCGTAATTGCCGTCGGCCGGAGTCGAGTGGATTTGGATTGTTCACCGGTCAGGAAGTCTCATTTGGCCAAATGACGTCTCCTCCTCCCAGAACTATCAGCTGCAGTGGCTTACGTAATGATTGACAATCAGGTGTGATGGAGATTGAGCACCAGGACCCGGCGCAGTGCAATTCATTGATATTTATCACCTGGCGGTGGCCACTGCCTGAATGTCGGACGCAGAGCGACGCTGCTTGCCCCGTTATCGTTAATTAAATTACCAAGTTGAGCGACTGGCGTAAATGACAAACTTGTTACCTCACACAACGACCCTTCCTTCCGTTGCCCCTAAGTCCACCCCCTTTTGGCACCGCGAATGCCCCCCGTCGCTGTCTAATGGCATTTGATAATGGTGTTTGTGTTTGTGTCTGCGTTGGAAAATGGCACAATGACGTAGTAAACGCCACTGACTGAGGCTGCGAATCATAATCATCGGTGCTGTCACCTAAGTAAGAGGTAAAAGTAGCTACAATTATGGTTTTGGTATTTTTAAAAATAATAAAATATGAGTATTTTTAATTGGGAAAACTTTTATATTATTTTTAAAACAGCCAAAAATGTTTTAAAAAATATATTAAATATAAAAGAATGAAAGAAATACAGAAGAAATATAGAAACTAAATTAATATTAATTCTTTAAAATATTAACGTATAAGCCTAGGCAATGTTCATTATTTTTTATGTTTGAGAAATATTTTTAATTAAATTTGTAAATTTTAATTATTCTTTATATCTAAAAAAAAGACAAACAATAAATATTTTTCAAAAATTATAAAATTATATATATATATATATATGTATATATGTATTCATATTTTTATATAATGATAACATATATATAAAAATTATAATAATACAATTTATATTATAATAAAATTCAATAAAAATACTGCTTATTTACACGAAATTCTACTAAATAAAATTGTTTATTGAAAAGTATTAAATAATGAAAAGAATCCTCCAAGATTCCAGGATTACCGGAAGAATTTTTTATGAAAACTAAAATTTTCTATGAATATTTTTTTTAAATCAGTCCCAAATAAATATAATACATAACGAAAAAGAAAAAACTAAAGCTTAAATACAACAAAAAAAAAAAACAATAAAAACCAATAATATAAAATTTAAAAAATTAATTTAAGATAAAATAATCAATTTAAAGACAAAAACCAGCATAGAAGTCATCACAGAGCCCCCCTTTTCCTCTCAAAATAGCCAAACTTGTACCATAAATAGTTAAATTGGCAACAGCGCCTCGAATGGGTGCTCTAAAAATAGACTGAGTGGGCGTGATCGATGAGGAGGGTCCGCAAATAGCGCCCAGAAAGGGAGACCCTTGAGATTTTTAACAGTTCCCAGGCTCTCGAGGGACAGACGCAGTTTGAGCAGCCGGCCAGTGACAGCGATGGCTCTCAAACTGTGTCAAGTGGCACAGCAAAGTGGGTCATTGCAGGCGGGAATTGTGGGTGGTTAGTGGGTGGTTAGGGGGTTGAAACAGGGTGGTTTTGGTTGACTTTTCCATAGCGGGCAAGTGACGGGCCCAGGGATAAGCACGCTTATGTAAAGCGTTTGTGCAGCTAAAAGGCTTTTTCCACCAGCCTACGAGCCTGCCGTATGTGGGATAATTTATTGATTGGCTCAAGATGTTAGACTCTGCAAACTATTTATAAAGCACGCAGCAGGCATTCAATGACTTTCCCCTCTGCTCCTCTTTTCCAGATGCGCACAATTAGCTTAAAACGACAGCGGGAAAACTTGGAATACTAAAGGCAATGCACAGGAGGAAGCAGCAGGAGCAGCAGCAGCAGCAAGGACAGACAGAATTTACAAGCAAAAGGATAATCACAATCACCAAGCAGCGAACACGAATAACCAACACCAACAAACCGAACTATTAACGAAATATTTTAACTTAACTGTAGCACAACGGAAGCCTTACAAACAACAACAACAAAACCATTTGTGCTGTGCTTTAATTATAGTAAAGAAAATATAAAAAACATAAAACACGATAGAAACACCAAACACAACTACAAACGACCCCAAGAAAACCGCGTAATTATTACAAATTAAAAACTAATAATAATAATCATTATTCTTCCACTTGAGAGTTTGAAATGCGTACATTTTTAAATCGATATTTAAACTAGTAGCAAATTATTATTAACAGAAAATCGAAGTATATATATATACCATATAACCGTTTAACGTTCATTACAAGTTTAGCGAAAAGAGCGTTGTGAATTCTAACTAGAAGCAGGCGAAGACGAAACGGTTTACGATCCTCTCTCTCTCAACTTAGAGCAAATTGTACGCAATTAGTAGCATTTTAAACGTAAGGTTTTAATCCGAACAAATTTTTAAACGAGCTTCAAAACACACACCAACACACGAGGTGAATAATAGAAAAAACCCCGAATACATAAAACACACACGGCAGGACCTTATCCTTAACCTTAACCACGGCGCCAGGAGTGTGTGTAACAATCAAATGCTTGGCGCAGCGCCAGAAAGTAGGCAGCCCGAAAAGTAGGCAGTAGAAAATTTATACAAATTTGGCGCCAGCGAAAAAAAAGAACCGAGAGCCCAGCGCCAAGGACTCTGACGACCTTCGCGTGTGCAGGCGTCGTTGCACAATAAAGGACGCCACTCACTCACACACACACACACAAGAGCGCTCGCGTCACCCAGACGAAAACACATACACCTAGAAGCCGACACACAGACACACACAGGACATACACAGGACAATTGCATGGGCAGCCGCCATGACCGGAAGTGAAGTACGGTCACGTCCACGTCCACTGGCCTTTGCATAACAATCAGCCCGCGTAGAAGACCCCCTCAAAGGGAACGGGGCGAAAAGGATACGCCAAAGGAGCAGGTGCTACCGCAGTAGGACACCAGGAAACATTAGGAGGGGCGAATATAGCCCCCAACCGGCACAGGAGCGCCACTTTCACACGCCGACCGGCCCGCAAAAATGCAGGAAATGAGCTACCTGCAGGATAATTCCAAGCTGGAGGCCCTCACCAAGGCGGTGCTCATATCCATACTGGGCGTGGCCATCGTCCTGTCCAACCTCCTCATCATCGCCACCTATGCCAACTTCAAGGGTACGTTACACGCAAAATAATCAGGGTTTCATTCTCTCAACAGGATCTTCTTGCGCGTAGGTTTGACCAATTTGTTTGTAAAGTCATGACTTTATCGTCACAAATTCATTGAAATATATTTATCTTACATTTTCAATTATTTTAAATTGCATCCCACATCTGAATGTAAAAAAAGAATGAAGTAGTTTGCAGATTTTTTTGTCTAGAATAGAAGACAGGAACAACCCCAGATTATTTGTAGTCCCCCTAAAAATTTTAGCTAAAGGCCTGTTTATAAATCAAATGGAATTTCTTATGTATCTTTTTATTTATATAACCAAGTCATATTTTATTTTTAAACTAAAATATATAACATTTATCTTAGATATAACATGAAAAACTTATAAATTTCCTTTTGTTTTTAATATCATTATCAGGAGCTCTGTTAATTCCTACTGAACTTTAAAGAGGCCTTTAAATAAAATATAATATAACCCCTAGTAAATTATATTATTAGTTATTGTTTTACTTATATTTTTAAAAGAATATTTAACTCATTTAATAAATGGTTATTGTCCCCACAGGCCCCACAGAGGTGATCAACTACTACCTGCTGTCTCTGGCCATCGCCGATCTGCTCTGCGGTCTGCTGGTGGTGCCCTTCTCCGTGTACCCCGCCCTCACCGGAGAATGGATGTATGGCGACATTGTGTGTCGCTTCACGGGCTACCTGGAGGTCACTCTGTGGGCGGTGTCCGTCTACACTTTCATGTGGATCTCGGTGGATCGGTATCTGGCGGTGCGCAAGCCTCTGCGCTATGAAACGGTGCAGACGAAGACGCGGTAAGTAAGGGGAAAATCTATAATAAATATGATTGATATTTATTCCTGGTATTCCTGATTATGTATTTTGTATAATAATAATTATTAATTATTAATTGATACTTATAACTTAAAAATGTCTTATAAAAAGTACCCAATTTTTATTTTTCCATTCTCTACCTGAAACAGCTGCCAGTGCTGGATGGTGTTCACCTGGATATCGGCGGCCCTGCTGTGCTGCCCCCCAATATTGGGCTACTCGAAGCCGATCGAAAACAATGTGACGCACATCTGCATGCTGGACTGGGGGAATATGGCGGCGTACACGGTCACGTTGGCGATTTTAGTCTTAGGTCCCAGCCTCATTTCGATCGTACACAACTACGGCTACATCTTTGTTATGATGCGTAAGATTAGGTCCGGCGAGCCAATTCACGATAAAGAATATGCAACTGCTCTGGCTGAAAATTTATCGAACCCTAGTCATATGATGTCATTCGCATTAGTCTTTGCATTCTGGGTGTCCTGGCTGCCATGGATCTCGTTGCGTCTGTATGAGGTGGTCACGGGCGACGTTATCCAAAGTACTCTTATCAATTTCGCCGTCGTCTGGATCGGCATATTGAATTCGTTTTGGAAAATTCTGATCATGACCAGTATGTCGCCGCAATTCCGTATCGCTTTGAGAGTATTTTGCTTAACCATTTGTTGTAAGACTAAGGGCCGTTTGCAAGCAGAGCTAATCGGGTTGGACCCAGATGACTAGAGTTAGATTTAGATTTTCATTATCCCCAATTAAATAATTGCCCTCCTACCTGCCTCCCTTCCTAGACCGTCCTAGTAACCCGTAATCCGCAAATCCATCACCTGTAATCCGAAATCCAAAGTCCGCAATCCACAAGATCCCGAAAAAGTAAAAAATTGGTTGTAATTGCATTGAGCCATTTCCCAGACTCTCTCTTTGCCATATAGTTGCATATTTACGGCCCGGTTGGCGCTACGCACCACCACAAACCACTGAAAAACGCAGAAACTCAACAAAAACAAATTAAATATACAATATAACTTGCAATGTTATATGAATCATACAGCAACCACACAGAGACACCGCACAGCCACTCAGAAACACACTCACACGCCGAAAGACATATTCATATTTCTAGACTAATAAGCTAAGCTAAGAGTTTTTAGCGTATCCGATTATGATTGATTGATTGATTGCATTGATTGACGATTATTATTGTGTATTTATGAGCTTACCACGTATATATACATACTTGTACTTAAATCTAGCTATACTTGTACGCATAATTCTGATCGTAGACAAGAGACAATTCACAGCAAATCCGACAGCCGATTGATGCAGCTGCATTTCCGTTTCCGGTTATATAAAATGAAATCATATAAGCTATTTAAACTAGAAACTTGATAACTTGTTAGCATGACAACTTAAAAGTATAAACCTTTTTCAAAGTCCATATTAAGTAGCATTTAGAATTTTACAAAACAAATCGTGTGTAGAGTTTACTAAACAATTTGCCAAACTTGACGACGGGCCGGAAATCGGAAATGGGAAATCGCTATTCAAAATTCAGAAACTTCAATCTTCGCACGCTTCGCGACTTTCGAACGGAGAAGATCCTAAGATCCTAGGAATAATATATAACCAAAGCGATCAAACCGAAAACAAATAACATTTCCAGTAGTTTTTAGCCATAAATAATACGAATTAATTAAATTGAAGGGGCAATGGAGCGACGGAGCCCACTATCTAGGCTAGTGTCAAGTTTCAATCGTGCTTAAATCGGTGGAAATCGAGCGAATATTTTCCGAATTTGGCCGCGCACCTGAACGCCTCCACCTGGCCGGGTTCCCAACAGACTGTTGCAATTTTGCCTAGTTCCCTTAGTGGGTCGAATTCAGTATCCCAGGCCCAGCCAGCGGGGTGTCCAGGTGCCAGGATATAGACATCGTTGATATCTTAATCGCCAAATACGAAAAAATTGTAACGAGAGTATGAAAAATCGAAATGCCGATAACGAAACATTGTGTATATTTTGTTGTTGTACATTATTTCATTAAAGCGATCTTTTGTACATTTTATTTATAGTTTTAAATGTTACTTTAAAGCAAGTGTTATCGATTTGTAAGTGTAAGGAAATTGTTAGAGCCGTATAAGCAGATAGAAAGACGTTTGGCGTAAATATAAATTAATGAGCGCAGTAAATAAAAGCAAAACATGATGAAAACAAGATGTGACTGTTACTATTTAACTTGGCGGAATAATTAAAAACGAAAATTATCAGCAATCTGATTTATTTACTAATTTTATTTATCTATCGATCGTAAATTTTGTCTTTGCAAAGTTTGCTTTTATTCCAGATCAAGTTTAAATTTCCCGCGCAAAAGCTCATTACATACAGCGATAGTTAGTTATCGATGTTTAAGCATCGATTTGCGGCTTTTCTTAACCGTGTGACCAGTTGCCGTGAAGGTAAAAACCTTCTTTTTCTAGAAAAGTTAAGAATTACAAACTAAAAACCTGGCAACCACACCGAAAATTCATGTGTTTATAAACTATTAGCTGTTTTTACTCTTTATTTATATATTAAAAGCAACAAAATTTATATGAAATGAATATCCGGAACAACGATCCAGGGGCCGTTCAATATGGAAACTTCATGAACTATTATCAATTCAATTCGGCCTCGGAGCGGGTTAAACTTTTGCCTGACAAGGATATATGGCTCCCACCTGTGGAAGAAGGCCGGGAAACCCCCGAATACAAACCTTACTATGTGCTAGATGTGGGCTGCAATTCCGGCGTTTTCACCAAACTCCTACACAAACACTTGGAGCAGCTTCTGCAGCGACCTGTGACAATAATAGGTGTCGATATAGACGAACGCCTCATCGAACGTGCCCTGGCGGACAATACTAATACTTTAATCAGCTACAACTGCCTGGATGTCCTAGACGAGACAGGTTTTGCCTCCATAACGAGGCACCTTAATTGCTTACATTGCAAAAAGTTTGATGCCGTTTGCTGCTACTCCATTACCATGTGGATTCATCTGAATCACCACGATCAGGGTCTACAATCGTTCCTAAAGAAGCTATCGGACATAGCTGAACTCTTGGTGGTGGAGCCGCAACCCTGGAAGTGCTACCAAACGGCCGTGAGACGAATGAAGAGAGCGGGCGATGGCTTTCCGCTCTTCCCGCAACTCAAATGGCGTTCCGACGTGGAGCTGCAGATACAAAATTACCTGGAGCAGACACTGGGTCGCCGAAAGACTTTTGAATCCACGCCCACCAAGTGGCAGCGAAAAATATGTTTTTACAGATGATGGAAAATATCAAAATCAATTATTATTTATCCCTCTTTTCATATTAAAACAAACAATAACCTTTAAACATTTAAAGTAACAAAATTCATATTTACGCACACAGTGCATGAAGTCTAATCCACATTTAGCTTCCTAAACGAGCCCTCAATGCCAAAGAGTCCCTCGAAATCGATTGGCTTCCCCGGACGCAGACTCTCATCGGTGCCGTAGTTGGCGTTCTCCTTGAAGAAATCGCTGTACGCGTCCAATTTCTTCTCCCACTCGGCGACTATTTCCGGCACTGTTCCATTTTCGCCTCCGTATTCCTTGGGCAGATACTTCAACGGAATCTGATCCGTGAGCAGCTCCATTTTGTTGCCATGCACATACAGGCGAGACTGCATCTTCTTGGACATCATGGGCTTGAACATATTGAAGACCTGCTCGAAGCCGGTGATGGTGTTGATAAAGTGCTGGGCCTTTAGGCGCAGCGGAAGAGCCTCCTCCGAAAAGACGGTGAACTTCTTGGCCATTGAGGGAGTCATCTGGAACATGTGCGCCGCCGTAGCTCCCTTCATGTCCATAATGAAGACCACACCGTGGACGTTGGCGTAGTCGTCCTCCAAAATGGCAATCTCCTGCATTGCCTGGGCCACCATCATGCATTCTAGAATGTGGTATTTCTCCACGGGACACAGACCCATGCGCCAGATGGCGATGCGGGGTCCATTATCATTTAGAGGAGTGGGTAGGTAGATGATAGCCCTGTTTGTGCGATGAAATATTGGGAGATTTAAGTCGAATTGAGGAAGAAAAACAGCTTTGAAATTAATTAAAATTAAACCGAGCAAAATAAATGACTAAAAAATGTTTAAATTTTAGTTTAGATACAGTACACAGGCCCTTGCAACTTTTAATTCCGATAGCAAATCATTTTTCTATTGCTTTTGAGATAAAATATCCAAGATAAAGATACTTCTTAAGATAAGACCAGTTAAATGATAGTGTTTAAAATTAGCCACGGTCTTTGACCTTCATAATTACCCCGTTTGGTGGATTTCCCGGAATTTGCCCTCCGTCGTGCTGGTCACTTTGAAGAACTCGGGATATTTAGTGCGCAGTGTATAGAACTTGTCCAGCTTGGACTTGGCCCGCTCCAGGCTGAATTTGCAGCCTCGGAGGAACGCCACGAGGTGCTGGTCATCCGTACGCGGGTTCAGATGAGGCTGCTGGTCAATCCAGGTCTTGAAGGCCTGCAGATCGGCCTCCAGGCGGGCGGGATCCTCCTTTAGCTGCTCGATAGCCGCTTTTTGCAGCTCCGGCGTGAGTGGGCGGATTTGCGGTGCCATTTCTCGACCTGTTTTTTCTTTTAAGAGGAAATGCGAGTGGACTATTCAACGTTTCTTGGGGCACTACTTGCCGCCCAATCTACGTTCTATTGATGGTCGAATTATATGGCGCGTTATCAGAATGCCTGATAAGTGCCCGATTGGACTGCCATAAACTAAACAAAGACAAACATTGTGCAAAATGCCTCGATAACCGAAGCATTTCATAAGAAAGCTTCCAAATAGCCAACAATTGCGGATTCCCCTTCTTATCGATCGAGCGTGGATTTTAAATACAAATTAACAGCTTTATTGAATCTACTTCTGGAAGGGATAGTAGTCCAGTCCGGAGTTGTAGTTGTACTTCTTCTTCTGCGTCCTTTTCGCGGCCTCCACTATCTCCTGCACGTCCTTGCGGTAGGCGGGCGGCAACATCTCCTCGTGCAGCGTGCACTTGTGCTCCTCGGGCTCCTGCACCTTGAACACGTACCGGCGGATGATGTCAATGTCGCGGCCAAACTCCTCCTTCAAATCGGCGATCTGCGTGGGCGCCGTGTCGAAGGCGATGGTGAAGTGGGTGCCTTCGCGGTGAACCACGCCGTGTTCGCTGACTTTGTGGGGCAGGGCTCGCGTTCCGAGGTTCTCCAGCTTCCGGATGATGCCCCCCTTGTCAAAGATGGCCTCTGCGGTGCGCCGGATCACGGATATCAGTTCGGGCTGCCGGTAAATAGAAGAATTTGGTCAGGTTTTATGTAATCCTCGATTGGTCCGCACGAGGCAACTCACGCGTGGCAATTGGCGCAGCACCAGAGCCAGTTCGTAGGTAGGCATTGTCGCTAAGAGATTGTTTTAGCTGGTAATTGGTTAATTTTATTATTTAATGCCTTTAATACGGACGTTTTAATTGAATAAACTCGGCAAATCAATTTGTTGATTTGATCCAGAAGTTAACAGCTGTTTTCGAGAGGTGGAACGAAAACCAACGCTTATTCGATACTATCGAGGTATCCTAAAAGTCCGCGCGAGGATTGAATATTTTTAATAGCTATTAACAAGTAACACACAAACAACAATAAATTATTTGTTCCCCTTAATATTTATTGTTATAAAGAAGTGTGTATTCCTTGTTGTCTTAAATTAAAACTAATTTGGTAATCATTTTGACAAAAGAATAACAAATATTCACAAAGGAATACATATGTATTTATAAAATTGGTTATTGAAGTGCTTGCAATCGATTGAAAATTTATTTTAACCTTTTTTTATTTTTATTCTTATTATTTCTCCAACTTTCACAACCTTTTTGCATAATTGCGATAGTTTGTCTGCCGGAGTGCCGTCACTATCGCCGATAGTTCTATCGATGATTAGAGAGTCTCTGGTATCGGGGCGTCTGCGCCCACCTCTAGCCATACTGTTTTTTTATGCCGAAAAGAGAAGAAGCAACGAGCGGATAGTTTTCGTCTTTTTCGTTCGCCAAAAGGAGAAACAAATGCTTGCGTTGTGTGAGTGCGGGTGTATATTCGGATATTGTTGTGTGTGTTTGCGCAAATGTCGCCAGAATTATGACGCATACCAAAGTGCAGGCCCTCGATAAAACAACAAATGAGCAAGGAAATTAAGTTGCAACTTGCATTAACAAAACGAAACAGGGGCAAAAGAGTGAGAAAAGAAGCGGAAAAGTGCGTGCACTCGGCAATTGTGTTTACTTGTGTGTGTGTGTGTGTGTGCGTGTGTGAAGTTGTATGCGAAATTATGTAAATACAACAATCATTGCAATTCCAATTGTCCTCTCTTCTTTTTTTGAATTATGAAATGCAAGTTGCACTCTCATCTGAACTCTCCAACTCTCTTTTTCGCATTTCCCACTCTCTCTCTTTGCGCCGCCGCTGCAGCAGAAATGCCAGTGCATACAATTTTCCCTAATTAAATTTTCCTTAAAACGGCTACGTAAAGTTTAATAACAATTTCTCTGTTTGGTTAGTTAAATTCTTGCTTATTAGTTTCTACCTGCCGCTGCCGCCGTCTCTGCCAACGTCGGCGTCGCTGCACTGACACGTCTGCATTCACTCGTTTTTTTTTATTTGTTGGTTTTACATGCTTTCTTACCTGCCCAACCACCAAACAAAAAAAAGACTGCCGAATTGCTCTCTTTTCATAGAAAATTAAACATCGCGTCGCGCAACGCTGAAACCAACAGAAACCGAAATGAAAACGAAAAAGCAACTATCAAATTAATTAACCTTTGCGGGAAATACATAAAACCAGCTAACAGCAACAACAGCAGCAGAAATTCTCATCTTTTATTCTTCTTCCTTTGCTTCCCCCTTTCGCCGTTCCTCTTTGGATTATATTATCTACATCGTTCTTTGGATTATAATTATAACAACAACAAAAACAACAGTGGCAAGCGGAACAAGCAGAAGCAGCAGCAGCATCAAACTGGCCGAGTCGGAAAGCGCAGCGCAAAACTCCAACATGAGTTGGGGCACCGAGATATGGGTGAGTACTAAAAAAAAAGAAGTTTTTGCTGTATAGTTTCTAAGAAGCAAAATCGAGATTAGTGAATTTTTATTCAATTATTAGGAACAGCACTGGTTTTAGCTTACAATCAGTAAATGTATAATTACTTTGTTTCCGGAAACACAACATATTTTAATGGTATTTTATTATATTTTTGTTTCCTAAGGGGTTTAGATAAGGTTTATTGAATTTTAAATGCAAATATGTTTAGAATTTATTTCAGTTCCTAGAAATAAACGAAATTAAATTTTAAAAATACTTTATTCCATCCCATTGAATTTATACGAATTTCTTAGCTAGATGGTTAACTACAAGTACACGTTTTTATTATAAATAAATTGAATAAAAAAGCATCATAAATTTGTAGATTGTAAAAATTCTTTTACATTAAAAAAATGGCAAAGCCCAATAATATTTCTCTATATCTCCCAAGTTTCTTCATGTATTTCCAGTTGGAAAATCATGATCTGTTCTAATTAGAAACCCAATCCGAGTTAACTTAACCCTCTAGTGCCCAAGACCGCCTCTAGACGGGCAATGTTAAAAACACCGTTATTTTATTATTTTCATTCCTTTTCACACGGTTTTCCGTTTTTTCTAATTCAGGAAAGTCCAAAAATTAAGTTCGTTGCGTTTGGAATACATACTAGAGCTAGCGCAAGCTGCTGTATTCATTTGAAGTTGAAAATTTGTGCAAATCGGACAAAATAATTATTTTGTAGGTAATACGACATGTAAATACTTTTTTTTTAAAATTCGAAAAAAATTAGAAGAAAAAAATTGTACTGTGTTGCTGACAGTCTCAATGACATTTACAATAAACATTTTAACAAAAAAAATTTTTTACCTAATTTTTTGTTGGCCTATCTTTCCAGAACTGCCTTCATGCGGTCCAAGGTTTTAGTCGTATAAAACTCGATCCGAGCAAAAGTAAAATTTTTTCCAAAACAAACATTCACTTTTGATACATACTGAATCCAAAAATAATTTTTTTTTTTGAAAAAAAAAATTTGGGCACTAGAGGGTTATTTATGTCTATTAATTATTTCAATGTCATCGGTAGTTAACCAGAGAAAATCCAATCAAATGCTCTCGTGTAGTGAGAAATTTACAAATTGCTTCCCATAAGCCAAAGTGCAGGCAAATGTTTTAAGAACGCGCGCTTGAAGTCTCTGTCTCGTTCCCTTATACTCGCCGTCTCGCTTCCTCCCCAGGCCGAGCTGGAACTTGAAACTTTATAAAGAGAAAAAAACTGGTTTTGCGGGTTTTATGTAAATCGCTGCCATATGAGCACGGCCAGCGTGCGCCCCAAAGCAATATAGTATATATTTCTGGGATATTTCTCGCTGCTGTTTTTGTTTTCTTAGTTGTTTGTGTTCTGTGTTTCGGTGGCTCCACATTCCACTTCGATCCATCGAGCTCCAAGTTTTCCAGCACTGTGTCTCGACGTTATTATTATTACTATTTGATTTTTTCTATATAGTTTTTCCCATATTGGTGCTCTATTTTGAGATCTATTTCAAAAATACTTAATAATAAGACAAATTAAAAAATTTTATTAATGTTAAAACTTGTATTTGTAAAATTTGAAATTTGGTGTTCAATTTAGATAAAAGTTTTGTTTAGTTTAATAGTTTAGCCAAATTAATAATTAAGATGGTATGCTTGACGCTATACTTTACTTACCAAAAACAGACTTTTTCCCCACACAACTGATAAGATTCCACATCTAGTATTAGCTTGAACAGCTGTTTTCAGTTCTATTGGTTAATGGTCGGGGCGTTGACACGCCCTACCAGAGCTTACCTGTATTTCCAGGGATTTAAAATGGGAAAAAAGAAATGCATAATGCGAATTTTAGCTAGCCTCAGCTGCTTTTTCCCCACGCTTCAGCTCGATCTAGTTCTTTTATTTTTTGCTGATTTCAATTCAATTCGGATATCGATGGATTTTATGCCTTCCGCGTTTCGGGGGTAGTTTTCATTCAGAGCCGAAAAATCCACAGACAGCAGCCGGCACACCCTCAAAGTGTGTCTGTCTGGTGGTGTGCGTGGCAGTGTAGGTGTGCTTGTGTTTGTGTAAGCGGAAAATTTGCTTCGGCAGCAGCAGAGGAGGTTCCGTGATGTCAGGACCAAAATTGCAAGTCTAGACAGAGTTTTGCAACCTATTTGTTATACCATTTTCCCCTTTTTTCCCACAGTTTTCACTACTATTTTTTTCGGCAGCAAAGATTTTGCAGCTAGTGTCTGCTGTTAGTTTTAAGCTCCGAAGGCTTACCAAGTGTTTGTCTAGGGGATTTGCATAGAGTTCAAAAAGAGTGAAGAGACTGAAAAAAACTAATAATAAATGCAGCAGGGAGTTGAGGAGACTACAAAGTAAATAAAAAAGTCAAGTAATGGAAATATATTGCCACCAAAACCAGGCCAAACTATGTCTGTAGTTGTTTAAATATTTAAGAAAAGGCGTAAACATTTATAGAATGATATAAAAGGCATGTTAATTTTGCCAGAAAATAAGCAAAATAGGGTTATTTCCATGAAATATATCAGAAAATTACAGAGGTATCATACACGCAGATAGAAATTAATAAAAAATAGCAACAAGGCCAAACTTAATGCCTAAATTTTGAGAATACTTTTGTATACACAAAGATAAACGAAAATTTTCCAAGAAAATAATATTATCATCCTGTCTTTTTAAATTAATCATTAAATAAAATAAAGTTGCTTTTTATTCCAGAAATCAATAAAACCAGATCATATTCAAAAACCCGTTTTTATGTATGCCAAAACTAAAAAGTGCACTTAAGAGGTTAAACAAATTTAAGAATTAATAAGTATCATACAAAAAGTAATTTAAAAAGAATTCCCAAGAAAATAAATAAACAAATTCTTCTCATGCTTTATGGCCAATTCAACATTGTTAGAGTTTTCGCTTTATTCTTGGCTTCACGACTTTGTTTAGTGATTCATGATAGAGGTGGAAATCAAGTTTTAGACCCCCTTCTCCGTTGCCTCCTACGGCTTTTTTTGCAGACTCAATCACGTCGTATTGTTCGCTTAGCGAAAATCGGTAGCAGCCGGACAATATACAATACACAATATAATGCCCATAACTGTGTATATGACATTTGCATAAATGATTTGCACGCCACAGAAATACTCGATAGGCCACTTAAACCGCCTCTTTCGGCGGCCCAAAGAAAGTGTAACCAGAAAGATTTCGGTTAATTGAATTTGTGCATGGAAAGCGAAGCGGACGTCGCCTCTCGATGAAATTAAAATGAAAAAAATAATCATAATAATAATAATGTACATTTTTAATGCTAAAATCATAGACCCCCTCAGTTTCTTGGCTAATACCAACGTCGATCGAGCGCGTGGCTAAGCGGGTCAATTGCGGGGCCTGCATAAGCCAGCCATCAAGCTGGCAACAACAAACAGCAAGCGCCAGTCTCGGGTAATACAAAAAAAAATGTAAAAAAAACTTTCTTTGCATTTTTTGTTGCTCATTTTTTTATGAACAAAATTTTCACTTTAATTAAATTTAAAGCATGCGCCATCGTTGCTGCTTTGCATATGCAAAAAAATAAAGTTGGTGGGCTTACAAAAAAATTGGGTAAATAAAAACACTTTTGTGTAAGGTATTTATTTCGAGTATCGTGCGCTTTGTTTTTGTTTGAGGTAAATTTCTTTTTTTGGGAAATCTCCCCGCCTCCACGCATCTTTTATTTTCTTTTCCCCATCTCAGTCTCTCTACTTCTTGAATTTTCTTGTGTCTATAGAGTGGACCTAAAAATAGTTTGTGTTTTTGTAATTTCAAATTACTTTCGGGCCTAGACAAAGTAAATTGAAATAATGATGATGATTTGGTGTCAGAATATTTGGTAAGGCGAGCGGAATAAAACTTAATATTTACTTTTTTAAATTAAATAGGTAACTTGTTATTTTTTTAATATAGTACAGAAGGGGAAATAAATAAATAAGAAATTGTGTTGGTATTTTGCTTCAGTATTATTAATTATTGCTTTTAATCTCGACACAGTAGCATTATTTATAAATTAATGTAAACTACAAATGTTTTCTTACGTCAACAGAATTTGTTTTTACAAATGTTTTTATCCTAACTTCAACAATTGTTTACCTTTCGTATTTTCTTTTTATCACAAAACAGTTTTAAAATTATGTACATTTTACTTATCACTTTTAATCTAGCTTATCGGTCTTCTAATTTCCTCTGTCTTGACGAATAATTTGTCTTCATTAATTTGTTTTGCTGTGTCATACCCTATATAATCAGCTGGATTACCCGGAGAATACATTTTTCAAGAGCTCACAACTGACCGGCTCCTCCAGCACCAGCTCCTCTCCATATTTTTCCCTAGGCGGCAGCGTTCAATGCCATTGCGTTGTTGAGTGCAGCTGTTTAATGTTGTCGAGCACTGTGTAAATAATTTTCATGCAATTTGTGCTGCTGCTGATCGTTTTCGATCACTTTTCACATGACATTGAAAGGCCCAAGAAAACGAAATAAAATGAAACAGAAACAGCCACATTCACCGAGACGTTCACCCAAGCAATTAGCCAACAATTATGTTTCGAATTGGGGAACAACTTTAGGTTCAGTGTCTTTATTGCTCTCCATACCCCAAAACTTGTTGAGCGGCTAAAAATATGGCCAGAGACAGACTATATACCATTTTTTATGGCCTTTTGGGTGTGGACAAACTGCTGTAAGGAACTGTTGGAAATGTGTACCCCTCAAGCTCATATATCTTTTCGCAGCAGGTTATTCCTGGGGATGAATGCTTTTCTTCTATTTCTAACGTGTCGGCCATGATTGAAATTCTATCACCAGTTCGTACAGAGAAAGAGCGAACCCTGCTTGCTCAAGACTGCACTTGGATTTTCTTCTCCCCCATGTGAGATTTTCTCCTTGGGCAGAATTCCAATTAAGCCAAGGCAAGTGTCAGGGGCAGG